TCAAACTGGTCAAATTGGTCAAGTCTATTTTAAATATAATATTTTATTTTATAATAATCATTTGACCAATTTGACCAATACAAATCCTTTGACTAAACTGGTTAAATTGGTCGAATTGGTCTGGTTAAATGGTCATACTGGTCTGGTCAAGCCAACACTGGTTTTAAGATAATCTAATGGGTTTTCGTGCATAACATTATATCCTTTATGCAGAATGATGCAAGAATAGACCTTTAATAATAACCCTAATAATTCGTCAGACCAATCAAAAACAATCAATTAAGGGGTCAGATTATTAGTGTCTCTATTAACTGTTGTGAGGTCCAAATAACGTGATCCGGACAAGCTAGGATTGATATGCAGATCAGTTGCCAAATATAGGCATCCCGGCAATTAATGAATTAATATTATTTCTTAAATATATCGCGAAAGGGAAATTTTATATCAAAAGGGGGTTTAATGGTTAAAGTGGTTTGAATAAAGGAAGTAGAAAAATAAAATTAAATAAAGAAAATGTAAAAATGAAATTTATGTAGTAAAATAAGTCATAATTAAAAATTATTATAAATAAAGGGCCTAATTGCCCCCCGAGAAAACCAAGTCTCGCCTTTGCTTTATAAAACAATTAAGTCCCAAATTTATTAAATAAATCGCTCATAATATTACACAAATTACTGCTACGCTAATATACTCCTTAAGTCCTAAATTATACTTTGTTGTTCGTTTAAATTCTTGTTCACGTGACCACAAACCTTCCGGACGTTTGACACCAACCTTGTGACCCAAGTAACCTGAGCCTTAATAGTCCCTCAGCCTGATCTAACGCACCTCTTTCGAAAGGTTACTTACCTTTGGTTACGCGAGTTTTTGTATTGTTGAGCGACCGAGTCGCAGTCTTTTCCATATTCACACTGTTAAGGTCCAAATAAATTGATTGGCGCATATAGGCAGTAGTTCGTTTGATTGGTTAATTTTTGAAAGTTCTACACGTGAAAATTAGCCAATCAAATTACATAATTTTTAAGAAAACCTCATAGATGAAGCTTTGAACTCGTTATACACGTAACAAAAATTGATATACGCGTATAAAGAATGAGTTATATATAGTGGGATAAAAGAGTATTTACTACTAACAAACCCGTACTTCTTGCACATTCTTAATTTAAAATTCAAATATATCTGGTATCAGATATAAGTAACTTAAACCCGAATCTCTATTACAAACAAGCCGTTTCGTTTAAATATCGAGACTTCTATCAATAAAAAAAGGTATATAATATATATATGTTTATTAGAAACTTTTTGGTTTGACGCTATTAAAATCAAAAAGAACTTTGCTCCGTTACTTATTTCAAAAAATCGCTACTAAGCCAATACTACTTAAATTAGAGATTATTGGAGATTATGCAATCTATCGACAGTCAACGAAGCAATCTACGCAGATTTTCGTAACATTGGATTTTTTAAAAGTACTCTAAAGCATATAAGTAAGTTACCTGGGCATCAGCCAATCAAACAAACTTCTGCCTACGAGATTTTTACGTTGTTTTGATTTCGGTTAAAATTAATTCGATTTTTCCCAATTTTTTTTTTTTTTTGTCGCGCATCTGTTGTGCGGTTACATTGTTTCATGTAATTTCACGCAAGGGATGGTAAAAAACGGGTTAAACCATTTTTTCACGAACTTCAGCGTATACTTATTCTACAAACCCAAAATGAAATTTTCATATGTAGATAACGTTGTGTAACATGAAATTGAAGACTTTTTCCGATAACTTAATTAGATCTTTATAGCGTTACGCCTAAATGAATTTAGAAGTGACATTAAATTCTTTCGTTCTTGCCTTTTGTTTGGTCTTTGACGATCACTGATTATCATTACATCTCAATGTTAAACTCAAGTTGGAGCACGTGAAAACGTTGGAAAGAAATATTATATAGTAATTCTGGATTGTTGCAAAATTTTTGTAAATAAACGCGTATCAATGTGATATTTCATCCTATTCCATCTAACCCCATCTTGTCTCAGTAAAAACGCAACTTCCCTTTTTATCTTTTTTCTCCAAAACGGATCAAAAACGATCAAGTCTACCGAATTTAAGACAAATAGAAAGTGATAGCGAACGATTACAATATGTTAAAAGTATTATACGATCTCGACCAAAAACTTGTCTTTCTACTTGGGATATAAACACTCCATTTAGACTTACTGACGTATCTATTCGTGCTAATTAATTTATATCAAATTAATTCCCGAAAAAAAAAAACATGTATATGATAGATATATATTCAGTACACAATTTATTCCAATGATTGACAAATGTCTTTTCTTTATCGAACTTTATTGTATTGAATAATTTTTTTTTTCATGTTTATTCTAATCTTTATTCTCTTTTGGTAAATAGATGGTTTATCACTGTTTTTTGTCATTCACATACACATTCATTCCTTTATATATCACCACAATAAAGATGTTTTATATCGTAGTATAATTGAACTATTGAATTTTTACATTGCTACGATGAATTATACATATTGTAATTGGATAAATTTAGATGGTCGAATTGTTAAATTAGAGCGAATTAGAGTTCTAGAACGGTTAAATGGCAATGTAAATAAATTTTTTTCACACTCATTGAGAATGAGATTTTTTTTTTTTTTTTTTTTTTTTTTTTTTTTTAAAAGATAACAAATACATGTATCTTTTACCTTTGAGAATAAAAAACATTTTTTATTTAAAGACATTATTAATAAGATGGTCTGCTAATCTAAAGTTTAAATTAATTATAATACACTTGTACTAAGTTGGAGTGTATCTATGAATCACTATCATAATTATTTTTATCAATCACACTTAGTTTTTATGCGTAACTAGTGATGGGCAAATCGTGGTTTTCCCAAATATCCTGCGCGGGATGCGGCTTACGCGCGTGATGCGCGAGATAGAGATTACCTTGTGGGTTTCTTAAAATTTTGTTAATGCGGCCGGCTGGCTTGAATTAGGGAACATATTAAAAATCACGTGCGGGATCCAAAAAATCACGCGCATTTTGCGAGCGTGATCCGCGCATGCCCATCACTGTGCGTAACTATTATGTATCGATTATAACGATAATGCTAAATTTTATATTTAATAATAAATAAAAAAATATATATGGTTTTTTTCAATCATATATAAAGCTGACTATTTTGCTATACGCTGAAATTTAGAAATTTCTATTTGAATGTATAATAAAGAGTTTCTTTATTTAAATATATATTACTGATATTAACAAAAACTCTCAAAGTTTTTTTTTAACATAAGTTCAAATTCCAGTATCTTTTATAACAATAAATGTAAAATTATCGTGCAATTTATCTAGTAGGAAGCATTTAGAGATTTATGGACCAATTCCAATCTATGATTCGGAAGTAAATTTTACGAATCAGTGAATGCATCCCATAACTTTAAAAGATTTTCGATAACCTGAAGTTTGTGGGATTTCCGGCTTACTCGAAGTTTGCAGAAAGACGTTGCAAGTACAATTGTTGCAGATAATCAGAATGTATTTTTACTAATAATTACAATTATAAAAAGTTAGTCTTATCGTATTACTCTCGAAAATATTAATAAATTAGTAAAAACCACTTGATATAGTTCATTTTATTGCTATGAAAATTTTGGAATCGAAGCAGGCTGTTTTAAAAGAAAAAGATTTGCCAGCTTATATTTATGTTCAACATTCTACTACCTATCTGTTATGTAAAATATGATAGTAGTCTGTTCTCTGTTTTCGTGGTGTGCAGTCCATATACCGGTAACTCCCAAAAAAAAAGAATTATTTTTTTATATTTTCTTATAAACTTGAGTTGTTTGCGTTAAACTGTTCGAATTTTACTATATAAAAATCAAACAATTTGATTTTCTAATTCGGTCAAATGGTTTAAAATTTTCAATTATATTCAATATTAATTAATTTCGTTATATCAATATCGATAATAGGTCTGAATATATACAAACTTTTATTATTATTTATTTAAAATTTATTATCGATAAATGGTTAATTTTACTAATCATTTACATAATCAAAATTTCGAATTACTTTTTAGAATAAATCTAATTTGACACCTAGTGTTTGAAACACGGATTTTAATTTTTTATAAAAAATAAACAATTTTTTATAAAAAAAAATAAATTTAATTAACTTTAGGGTTAGGGCGAGGCCTAGAATTTGGGTTAGGGCAAGGCTTATATGTAGAATTAAGCAAGGAATTTTTTTACTTAGAGCCTCAAAAGCAGTTTCATAAACGAAATTTTTAAATATTCGCATTTTTTTAAAAAATTCTTTATTTTAGTTACACAAAAAAGATTTACATGTTACACTTGATCTTGAATTTTGATTGGCTTTTCTAATACTTTTGTACTACCTAGTGTATTGACACCCCGTGTCCAAATAGAAATTGCCTACTTTTTATTCAACAAACAAATTTAGATTAAAAATATTTATTACTCGAATAAACTTTAAAATATAATCTTCAAGTTCGAAATTAGTTAATAATTGCTGTCAATAAGTCGAAGAACGAAGGTAAACCTTTAACCCAGTATAAAAAAAAAAAAAAGTAGGTGAGTAATTGAAATAACCTATATAATACCCCAGAATAACGCATGTCAACAGTTAATAGCAGAGGAATATCCAAATGAAGAATATCTCAATATTCTTGAATATGGATTCTTCATTCTCTCAGTAACCACGTGTATTTACTGAGTACTGCTACTGACGAGCATAACCCAGAAGCCTAGGAGCAATATCTGAGGATTTTTGTTATTATAATGATGTGAGATTAATTACTCATGAATAAAAAAAATACTCTTCTGTTAAGTAAAATCAATATTCGAAGCAGCCTAAGTCAAATGTAAGATAACGTAAAAAATTCGTCTAACTTCAAATGGTCTTATTGTTGTCATTTATAAATTCGTTACTGAAAAAAAAACTATGTTGTACTACTATCATCGCATTATATTAATATCGAGCTTTTCTTCTGAGTTATAAAAAAAAAGAACATAACAATATTACAAAATAATAATAATAATAATAATTTCAAATTTTTTTAATACTTTTTTTTATAACTCTAGTATAGACAAAGAACAAAATTTTATTAAAAAAAAGTGTTTTTAAAAACAGAAATAGAATAAAAATATTATTATTATTATTATTAAGTAGTATTTTTTATTATGTATAAATAAAATATAAAGGTAGGAAACAAATTCGAATATACATGCATATATGATTAGGGTGTACAACATTGGTCTAATTACAAACATAGTGTATATAATATAGTGATAATCACTAATCAAGATTTTTTATAGTAAAAAATTTTCTGATCAATTTTTAATAGTAAAGACTATAAGAAATATCTTTTAATTCCTCGTGTAATATTTAACATTGCTTAACTCTATAAGCAAAAAATGTTTAATGAAAGGTGTCTTCATATAGTAATAACACTGGAATTTTTGTTTTACTAGAAAAATACCTTTTTTTCATAGGTATCAAATTTTCTTCATGAGTATCAAATTTAGTCATATAGATTAAGTTGTACTAGAGATATTAAAAATCTAGTTCAGTTTGACTTGACTTTATTAAGTTAAGTTTTAATTTAGACTCAGTCTCAAGCTAAGCTTAGGACTGAGTCCCAATTGTCATGTGAAATTTGTAACTATCATATGATATTATCATAGTAATATAAAAACTTTTCAAAAACTTGATTTGAAAATTTTTATATCTATATTTATCATATACTATCGAAGAGTACATAGAATTAGTAATAGGACCTTTCGATTAATAATTAATAATTAGCCAAGTTATTAACTAAAAACTACTTAACTGTTAATAATGTACAGTTTAGTAAATCGATTTAAAACTACAATATATAAAAAAAAGTATAAAAATATATGATAATCAAAAGTCAATTTATCTACGCATTAGAAAACTTGATTTTATTACGATTTTTTTGTATTCAATTAGAATTTTTAACAATGATCAAACTTATTATTACTAACTATTAATAATTAACTAAAACTCAAAAGTCCTATTACTATATAGAATATCAGTATTTGCTTATTATAAATTACTACAGTTAGATTCAGTGTCTATTCTGTAAATGCGTGAGCTCTACACACTATACTACAGTTCAAGTTCTATTAACAATTAAAGTTGTACTATTTATATCTACTCCAATATAATGTTGCTAATATTTTTAACTTTCTAGATTTTGCTAATCAGATCAGATAAAGAATCTCTAATAACTATTATTAAAATAAAAGCAAAAAAATAAATATTTAAAAGTTTTATGCATTCAATATCTCAATTCTAAAAATTAAAGTTGCTATTATTATGAATCTTAGTAGTTTCTGAATATTGTATATGTATCGTGCATGCTAATAATTATATTATTATAGTCTGTTTGAGAATAACTATAATAAATAGTTTAATAGCCAAAAAATTTAATTGATATTTCAATATAAATAAACTAATTATTAACTAATGATCATACTATTGATATCTTCTACACAAGGTTGGCAATAGAGCCAATAGAGCTTAATAGTTATGCAAATGAAGCTTAATAGTTACACTAATGAAGCTAATAAAACTAGTATCTATTAGCTTCAATTAGTACTCTATTAGCTCTTTTAGTTCTATTTGTAGCTCTATTGAGTTTTATTGAGCTTTATTGCCAACTCTACTTCTATATGTTTGATATCTTATCAATAAGTTATTATTTTCATAAATCTTAAATAATGCATCTTATATGTGAAAATTATGTTATAATGATCTATTCACGAAGTCTGTAATATTTTAATAATAAGCTACAATGCAATATTAGTAGCTAAAAATTAATAAGATTTTAATATAAATAAACTTAATTATTAACTACTGATCATACCTACTATTTTCTTTATGTATTCAGTATAAATCTTAAATATTTATATACATCTTGTATGCTAATAATTATGTTACCATGGCATGCTCACAAATTCTATAATATTTTAATAATAAGTTGCTAGTTACATCTATTAATATCTTCTATATATTTGATATCTTAATTATTTGATCTTAATAATTAAATTATTATTTTTGTATTAATATAATTATAAATAGAGTCTTTGCCTTGAAATATAGGATATAGTAAATTATATATACTATAACTTGATTTTCAAAACAAAAACCTATATATGAATATTGTATATTAATAATTAT